TCTACTGAGCTATCTCCCCGGCCCCCAATGTCCCTTTCTCTCCCTCCAACCCCATCCGCCCAAGTCTGAATATGTTTCCTGCCCATGGGCTCCGCAGCCCCTGGCCCTGGGTCTCTGAAAGACTACACACTTGTCGAAGGGTTCAGCCCTCCCCATGTGAAAACTATGACATTTTGTGTCCCTGTGCACATCCAGATTACTCGTCCATAAAAGATCAGCCACGCCTAACTCAGAAGGTGGCTGAGACAATCAGATGAGAGGCTTGGGAACCAGAGACCTAGGGCTGCATTTACACGCAGGGGGAGCCATTGTTACGCTGCTCCGGGGCCTCTTCTTCCTGTGCATCCTCCTCAGCTTTCTTCGAAGTCTTAATGTGGACACTCGGGATAAACATTTGTTTAATTAATTAATCATGATTTGGGGAGTGAACGTGTTATTAGCTTACCCCATCTATACTATGTCATCTTGGGGTGCTAAAAGGAAAACCTTAGACAAATTAAGAATTTATTTGAGCAGAGAACAAAACCCAAACAGGCAGGGCAACACTGAGAACCAGAAGGGGTTCAGCGAGTTCGGCCCTCCATGTGAGTACTGGGCTTTTATAGAACGGACGCAGAGACGGGAAACCATCTGATTGGCCACAGTGTCTGAGGCACTCACCTGATTGGGCAGAATCCCAGCACTCGGCTGTGATTGGCCAAAGTTCACCTGTTTGCCTTTAGCAGAGACCTGGCCATTTGATGTGAAAATGGTTTGTGTGTACACGCACACAGGCTGTGGTTTGTCACATAGAAACGTAAAGCAAGGGGACAGCCTGTGGCTCATAGCCTCCTGCTTGCTTAATTTAGCAAGGAAATAAGTGTACAGCTGTGTTGGTCCATGGGATGCAGAAAAAAAAAAAAAATGGCTGCTAGTGTCAAAATTCCTTCGCGCCAGTTGATGCAGAAAGTATTTTAGATTTGCTTGTTTCAATCTCCCCATAAAATGGGATCCCCCAGCGTCCGCGGACCTCTGACACCTCGAGCTCTGTGAGCACGGGGCTCGACCTTGCCGATCTCAGGTGCATCTCACAGTCGTGCTCAATAAACAGCGCCATCAGTGGATAAACTAAACACATCCTAGACATCCGGGTACAATGTTCCAGGCTAGAGTAAGTTAACTGAAGTTATCCTTTACTGCAATGTTGGACTCCACTACAGCCACGCTACTTTAGAATTTCTTCCTACTTGCAATTTTAAAGAATATCCGTTTGTACATGGAGACAAAGGTTAAGCATTCGCTAATGACTTGATTTACCTTTTAAAACAATTAAAGTTCTTCCTTGCCTTCCTTCTTGCCCTTCAGTGCTCCCTTCCCTCCCCTTCTCTCTCCCTCCTCTCCTTCCCTCCTCCTTCAGTCTCTTATCTACTAATTAATAAACCAGATGAGCACACAAGCATGTCAGGGTAGGAAGTCCCTGAAGGAAGTGAGGTAAACATGGCAGCGTTTGCCTGGGTCAGGAAGGGTTTGTCACCAAGGAGCTAATGTCAGAAGTGGAGAGAGAGAGAGAGAGAGAGAGAGAGAGAGAGAGAGAGAGAGAGAGAGAGAGTGAGTGCCACGTGGGAGTCCAGCAAGGCTCTTCCAGGAGGAGAAAGGTCACTGGCAAAGCCCCGGCAGTAGAAAGGACATCAGTGAAAAGTTCTCAGCATCAGAGGACGAGTGAGGACTCGCTGGACAAAAAGCCAAAAATGGGAGAAGTCAAGGGCAGGGGCTGCACAGAGAGTACCCCGCAGCCCACAGAAGCTGGGAGACTATGGTGGTAGGCCAGGCAGCAGGGAAGCCCTGTTTATACTACATAAAGACATCACAGCCGAGGCCGTGGGGTAATGGCTATAAAAAGACCCAGGCAAGAATAGCAACCCTTTCATTCACTGGCCAGTGTGACCCCAGAGAGCTGGTGGCAACTTAGCCCCATGATGCCTGCAGAGTTGGTGGGTGTCACACACCCTAGACTACAATTACAGCTCTAGTCACTGACCCCCTGCTCAGGACCATACTGGGGTATGGACATCGCCTCCCTGATTACAGCAGCACCCCTGCAGGGTATGACTCGGGATCCCACTTCCCAGATGAGTATGGTGACAGGCTCTGAGATTTGATGGCCATGACACGGCCTTCCAGAGGTGGCAGCAGCAGTGGGGGACAGAGTCCACGCTCCAGTCCTGCCTCCTGCCACAGTTAGGAGCCCCAGAGCTCAGGGGGAACCCGAGGAAGGCTTTCTCCTGTCTCCCAAGGCCAAGCCCCTGAGACCTGGACAGTAGATGTATTCTGTGGCGGGCCCTGCATCCCACAGGACATGAGCTCCTGGCTCCCCTGCTTCAGAGCACAAGCCAGCTGGTCCCTCTGGTGACGTCCTCCTCACTGGCCTTCTTCTTCTTCCCCTGATGCAGTACTGAGAACAGCCTCATATGTGCCAAAGTCAGGAACGACCTGAGGACCTGCAGAGCGTCTCTCTCTCTCTCTCTCTCTCTCTCTCTCTCTCTCTCTCTCTCTCTTTTTCTGTGTGTGTGTGTGTGTGTGTGTGTGCGCGCGCGTGTGCACCTGTGTGTGGGACTGAGGGACTTTACACACACACACACACACACACACACACACACTCCAATTACCACTATTGGAGGAGACTGTCCACCGCCCCAAGCCCACCTACTTCATGTCCCCCCTCGCCTCGCGCATTCCTGGGCCCCTAGAGCTCCACGCAGCACCATCTGCAGCTGTGACAGGTGAGCAGGCAGATGGGCCTGCATTGGGCAGGAATCGAAGCTGTGGCACTTGGTGTGGTCACCGCAAGAAACTTGGGTCCGAGTGCTGGGAAAGGGACAGCCAGCAGCACAGTGCCGGGCAGAGCAGGTAGCTGCCCAAGGCCTGGCACAAGCTGGCCACTGCTAAGTGTCCACACCACGGCCCGCTAGCAGAAGCCTGAGTGGGAGGGGTTGACCTCAACGCTGCCATGGGGGGTCAGGTGGAGTCTCAGCTGCATGGAGTGGGACAGACCAGTGGAGGCTGAAGGAACTGGAGGGAAAGGAATCCTCAGACCCGGCCTGGTTGCCTCCTGGGCCTAAGCATTTGGTAGCCTCTGGTCATCCTGGTGTCCCCAAAGACCAGCGCCCTCTGTCGTGGGCAGCTCATACTCCACACACGTGGCGAGCGAGTGCCAGCTGCCACTGCCAGAGAATGCGAGCAACTCCTTTTTTTTTTTGGTTTTTGAACTAGGGTCTTGCTGTGTAGTTCAGGCTGGTTCTGAGCTCACTATGTAGCCCAGGCTGGCCTTGAACTCCCAACGATCTTCCTGCCTCGGGCTCCTGAGTCCTGGGATTACAGGCGAGTCTCATGCTCAGCCAGCTCCTACGCACAGCCACAGTACTGTGCCTACAGCTACTAGCATTTAACCCTCACAGTCACCCGTGTGTCTGTGGTAGAATTAGAAAGAACCTGACCAGGCCTGGCAAGAGAGCTCAGCGGAGTAAACACCTGCTTTGGCAAGTGCACGGACCAGGGTTCGATCCCCAGTCCCACATGCTGCACTAGCCCAGAGTGCGCTGAGCCAGTGACAGAGTCCAGGTGTGAGGGCACATGCCTGTAATCCCAGCACTGGGGAAGCTGAAAACCAGAGGATTACTAGGAGTCAGAGCTGTGTACAAAGACCCTGTACCAAATACATAAATGAAAAAAAAAAAAATGTCCAAAGCCACACAGCTGAGAAATGGCAGATCTAGGACTGACAGTCCAGCTACCTGATTTTAGTGGTAAATGATATCACACAGTATATCCCAGGTCACGTCATGCCACATGCACATAGTACACTGTACTAACTAGGAACCGTGTGTCATCTACATACTACATGTACTCCATGTGCACTGTGCTTACATTATAGGTTCGCTAATGCGAATTGACTATAGTATATATGCTATATAGTATACTATTGATATACTCTACCACATTATACGACACAGCACAATGCATCTGTTATACGTACTGTATGATATTGTATTACGTTACCTTACAATATATTGCATGTACATATTATGCTGTACTATATATTAGGCTAAACTATAGTGTTTACTGCACTACTTTATGTATTCCATGAACGCTAATAATGTACTATATTACATATATTATGCAGTAGTGTACAGTTACATTTTTATATATAATCTATATATACTAAGAATGTTGGGGACTGGGGAGATGGCTCAGTGGAATAAGCGCTTCCCTGGCAAGCGCAAGGGTCTGAGTTCAATCCCCCAGTTCCACCCAAAAAAAAAAAAAAAAAAAATACAATATACTAAGAATGTACTATCTAATATAGAGTATCCTCTGTTATATTGTGGTATGCTGGACACCATTACCCTGTACCACACCACCTAGATATATGTGTTTCTCTATGCTATACTAAATTTTGTGGGTTTTGTTTTGTTTTATTTTGAGACAGGGTCTCATTATGCAGTTCGGGCTGGCCTTGTACTCACTTTTGTAGCCCCCAGACTGGTCTCAAACTAGCAGAGATCCTCCTGGTTCAACCTCCCAAGTGCTAGGATTACAGGCGTGTGCCACCATGCCCAGTTCCAGGGCCCCACCATGGGCGGGGCGCCCGCATCCGGGGCCAAGACCACAGGGCATGTGGGACCCAGCATCGAACTCGGGTCCTCATGCTTGCCAGGTAGATGCTTCTCCTCTGGGCCATCCCTCCCACGCCCCTACGCCGTATTCCATACGCATACTTCACGGCAAGTACCAGGTGCACCGCACTCTCCTGCCCTGCCCTGCTCTGGGAAATGGGCCGGGAACACAGACCGCCTGCTGCCTGCAGCCGCGTGGCCACCTCCCGCCCTCAGCCCGCTGCAGGGAAGCAGGGCTCCGGGCTCTGTGCTCTGACTCTGTAGTAAAAGATGAAACGCTGGGTGTGACCAAACCGGGCTACCAGGATCTGAGTGCACCCGAGGGGGGAGGCTTCACGTCAGAGGGCCCCCAGCGCGCCTGCGGGGCAGCGCGGCCCCGGGTCCTGCGTGAGGTGGCGTCAACTCACGGAACTGCACGGTGGCTAAGCTGCACTTGACAGCAGCCGTAAAGGAGGTGGCGGCACCTGCCCCCAAGGTCCGCTCACCCCGTCGGCCTGTGTCCAGGGTGCGAGTGCTCCAGCAGAAGTCCTGGCCGGGCACTGAGGTCTCGGTGACATCCTCTCCCGAGCTTCTGCTCTCTGCAGGAGACGGATGTCAGACAAGGAGGCCGACAACAAGATAGCGTAGGAGAGGGATACCTGGTGGAGCATAACAGGGTCACTGGGGAGAAAGTAGAAGGGTGACCTGCCAGACAGTGACGGAGGAGGGGCGGAAGTGAGCTAGCAGGGGGGCAGTCTGCAAAGATGAGCTCGCTTCTCCTGCGAACAACTCTGATAGAAGGATTTTGTTTTCTTTTGTTGTTTTGTTTTTTATGTATTTAGGGCAGGGTCTACAGGGTCTCACTACACAGATCAGACTCCTAGTGATCCTCCTGTTTTCAGCCTCCCAAGCGCTGGATTACAAGCTCGCACCACCACGCCCAGTCTCACTCGCCGTTTTAGCGTGTGGGGACGGGGCAGGCCCTGCACACCTGGGATTGAACCCCGGCCACTGCACTCAGCCTAAGCAGGTGTTGGAGTCCGCTGAGCTATCTGGCCAGCCCCTCTGATACAAATTTTATCACTGCCATTTTAAAGATGAAGAAACCAAAGTAGAAAGCGCTTGTCCAGCATTTCACAAAGAGAGAAACAGCTGGGCGTTGAACAGGGTGGATGTCCCACGGTCGATAGAAACAGAGCTGGGCGTTGAACAGGGTGGATGTCCCACGGTCGATAGAAACAGAGC